CTCATTTTTTTTTTATTTTTCAATATAGTCCCCTGGTACCGTAATGCACTTATTACATTTGTCAATAAGCGACATTAAACCGTCAAAAAAATATTTCTTGGATTGGTCGTCAAAATGGCCATTCACAGCGGCCTTTATTTCTTCATCGGTCGAAAATCGCCTCCCTTTTAGGCTTTTCTTCAAATTTCTAAATAGAAAATAGTCACAGGGGCCAAATCTGGACTATAGGGTGGATGGTTTAGTTCCGTGAAGCCATTCTTGCTTAAGACTGACCTTGCATGTAAAGCTGTGTGGACCGGAGCATTGTCGTGCAAAATTAAAACTCCTTTGCCGAGTTTGCCTCTTCGTTTTTCTTTTATGGCTTCTCGCAGTTGGTCAAGTAAGCTGGCGTAGTAAGCTGCGTTCATCGTAGTATTTTTTGGTATGTAATCTATCAAAAGAATCCCCTCGACATCTCAAAAAATTGTTGCCATAAGCTTGCCTGCTGATGGCCGAACCTTAAACTTGCGCGGTGGCTTCTCCCCTTTAAATTTCCACTGTAAAGACTCCTGTTTGCTTTCGGTGTCCCATTGGCGAATCCAGGTTTCGTCGCAGGTTACTATTCTAAAGATAATTTCTTCTTCTCTGTCTTTTACAAGGTCCAAAAATGCCTCACAACATTCGACGCGTCGTTGTTTCTCAAAGCATTCTCGGTACCCATCGTGCGCTTACCTTTATCATCCCTAAATGTTCGTGAATAATAACGTGAATATTTTTAATATTTATTAATATTTCCCACTGCTTGACTCTCCGATCTGCGAGTATTATTTTTTTCACTCGTGCCACCGTGTCTACTGTGACTGCAGAAACCGGCCGTCCGCTACGGGGATCGTCTTCCAGACTAACACGGCCATGTCTAAATTGTTTAGACCAAAAATTAATAACAAAATCGGAAGGACATGAATCGCCAAATACATTGGACATTCGTTGTTTTATTTGCGAAGTAGTATTTCCTTCTTTAGTTAGGACTTTAATCACGGCACGCTGCACAATTTTAAGCATTTTATTATTTTCATCCGACATGTTTACTATGTTAGTGGACTATTCGTAATGAAAACAATTAAAACAAATGAATGCTATTATTTTCAAATAAGGAATACACAAGTATTAAAGCTTCATAGTGGCCAGTATCATTTTTGTAACTTTATTGAACAAAGTAGATTATATATCAGCCACCCCTCGTATTTAAACTAAAAGTATTACTGTTTGATGTACAATATGCATAACTCAATGATATTATTAGTAAAATGCTATAGATAGGATATCTAAACGAAATTCGATTTTCAAAAACGACACACTGATACACACATGAACAATTCGTATTGTTAGACGTCAAAGTGAGATGGCATGATTCAATAATCGCGAGTGAAATAGAGACAAATATGAAAAAGTGTGGCTAGTAAGCCACACTTTAATGTATCACTTGGTGAGCGCTTGTAACCTCTCTACACCTTTTTACTTATAATATCATTGCATAACTTACTGTTCAGACATATTATTATATATCGGCATCTTAATTGGCAAATCAGCAAACTCCTTATGAGCAAATTTTTCAGGGCACTTAAAACTTTCCACTATTTTTGGTAGACTATTTATACGGTCCATTGCTGAATGAAATCATCCTAGGCAAGGTCTTGATACATGATCACATTTAAGTGAATTAAAGTTAAAGTTTCTGCAAGGAATTGAATGTTGTAATTTCCTTGGAGTGATATAACTCACAGAATACTGGCATGAAATAACGCTTTGACGGGTTGGTGATGTAACCGGAGGTCAAACTTTTCAATCCCCTTCTGCAATCCTCAAAAGACTGGCTACGCACTTGCAACTTTTCTGGTGTTGTAGGTGCCCTTGTATATAAAAAAAATAGTAGATATATCCAATAAGGCAGTTAAGGTCATCGGAACAGATCAATAATCACTAATGAAAAGCAGACTTTGGAGCCCAAAATTACGAAGGACAGAACTAAATTAGACAGAAGAAAAGTCAAAGCCTGAAAAGAATCGGAGGCTTTTTAGAGAGGGAAATGTCATCCAAACACGTCTCTCGCCCTATGTGACGCGAGAAGGAGTGTCAGATTCTTACTGTCTTAAAAGCACTCCGTTCCTTCTCTTGTGCCAGGCCGGGGCTCCGATACATTATTACACATGCTCTCACAACCCCAGCTGAATATCAGCCCTGTTGGGCCATATCAACATCAATAATATGATCAGCCTATAAGTGCCCACTGCTGAGCAAAAGCCGCTTCTCACACGGAGAAGGTTTACGCTACGTTATTATTACGCTTGCTCAAGGCGAATTGGTGATTTCAAACGATTTCGAAATTATAAGTTCAGGTTTCCTCACGATGTCGATGTGTGGGGGTTCGGGTGGCGGTTAATGGGAAGCTGGCCTTCCCCATGCACCTTTGCCTTAACCTCCGGGCCACCACGGCGACCACGGGTCCTACCTAACCCCCCCCCTTTTTATGGAACTCAATATTATGTATTTGTATCGTAGCTATCAAAAAAGCTACGATTAAGTTTTGACGGTATTTACAGTAAGCGAATAAAAACGTCACCAAAGATGTACCTAGTACTCCAAAATAAACATAATCATAAAACGTCATCTTAGAAGACTGCCAGTGGGATTAAATTGTTCCTTTATGAAGAATACTTTAATAAAGTCGAGATTAAAAAATACTTTATATTCAAGAAAAGTCGAGTGATCAAGCACTAGGATCTATAGCCGAGAAAAGTGTTTTTATGTCAATATCTAGACGGTGCAAAATTAAAATAATACGTACTTTTTTACATGAAACCTAATTACGTAATGTTATATGGGAAGACTCTTATATAAGTGTGGGAGAGCCATGCGTTGGCACGAATGGGCCGGCTCGACAGGACCTATACCACGGCCCAACAGACGCCGTCGTTCAACTCCGTGAAGCAACCCTTACGTTGTACATATTTTGATCTGTGAGTAAAGTTACCGGAGGCCAAATTCTTCCTCCTCCCCCAACTCCAAATATATCTATAAACCCACAAGAGGCCGGCAACACACTTAGTATTACGATCGAGTGTCCATAGTATGCACCGATTGCTTACCATCAGGTATCCGCCTGTTCGTTTGCCAAGCTATGCTAAAAAAGCGTGGAATTTATAATTAACTGCACGGTTGACGCAGGAAACTGGGCGCTGCCTGTCCGATTCCCGCACGCACTTTGTGTGTTTCAGAAATTGTTATGTCGGTTGTAATTGTACTGCGTATGTGAATTATATGTTTTAAAAAGCACACATGACAGACGAAAACCTACCTAAAAGCCTTTCGTTATAATAGTAATAGTCGTAGTAAGCCATTAAACACGGAAATAACAACGTATAGAGGAAAATATCAATTTTAATAGGTACCTACGTACAACTTTTTTTAAAGGAAAATAGATAACGCCCACTTGTCACCATTTAAATATATTTTAATAACGTAAAATAATTCATAAGCAAAAGAGCCTGCTCTAACGGCTAGCCGGAAAAATATTATTGGGTTTTTCTATTTTCAAATTTCTCAGGTTTGTAAGGATATTTATTAATAGGAAGTTCTATTGTACCTACCTTTTAATGGCAAATATTTTTAGAATCAGTTGCCGTAGTGATTATTTTTACATGGATTTAAGTATCTGCGTAAAAAAATTTAAATAGTTGTCTTCTTAGATTTGAATAAGGCGAACACACTCTGGCTGAAATAGACACTGTACCTATACCTAAGTATAAACTGCTAGAATTTATTAACAAATCATTTTAAAGGTTTAACCTTTGTTTGATAAGGCCGCCCATTCTACTCATAATAAGTAGTTTTCAATTGTATTTACCTAAATATAGGTAGGTAGGTAGTATTTAGGTAAATTTGTGTATGTGTGTAAATTAATAATTATAAAAATATAACTCAACAAGGTAGCTTGTGGCGAGCTGTTGGGCAGTGGCGACCCCACGGAACTAACTCCCGGGAGATGTCTTGTTCTTCATCTTTCTTAGTTCTCGTGACTAGTTGGAGAGAACGGAACACAATGAAGAACAAGCCCTCCTACTTACTCGCCTTAATTGGCAAAATAATAAATATATTTATTTCACGGCATTGTAAAAAGATTAAATAAGATGTGCTTTAATTAAATTGCTATTCAACTTTATTCTAAATTACAATACTTTATGGGAAGTTAGTCTTAAGGTAAACAATAAATATCAGTGTATTCTAATATCAAAAACATTAAGTGGTACTTTATGAAAATAAGTTTCATTATAGGCGATTTTAAGGCGATGCGTGTCGTGAAGTTACAATACGCGTATAAACAATATTCAGCCTTAGAAATTGACATATGGTTGCCATAGTTACTATGGTACTCGTGACGTCATTTCGACGACGCCTTTGGTTCGGTGTTTTAACGTAGAATTCCATGATCATCGTATAAAACTTTATATTCTATTTAAATAATGCGTTTTCTCAGAACATATGTATATGTATATCATACATAAGAGCCTTGTCGCTTGTTTCAAAATACCTACAGTTTACTACATAGTTAAATAACCGATTGTTTAAACATATATTATTTTCTCTGAATTTTGTACGAGTGTATTATTACCTATATATTTTCGCATTATTAAGCATACTTATTGCTTAAAAAATTATCTGAAAAATTTGACAATAGTAAAACCTTCAGTAAATCAAGTTTGTACACAATACAATGAGAAAATTTTGGTAAAAAAAATAACAAATATCTTCTACAGAAACGCGTGCTAGAGCAACACGTGTTACGTGTTCATTCATAACAGTTTACATAGAAAAGCTTAAGCTTAAGGAAAACCCATCGCGGTTTACCGTTGCGCATAGGATTCTCCTCCGATGTTAGTCACAAGCTCTTTGCTTTGTATATAAGATGGTGAAGACGATGTAGGACCATCATTCAAGTGTAGTGAAGCAACACATCAGTCAACATGAAACTGTTCAACCTGCTAGTGCTGGTCCTCGCGGTGGTCGCCATGTTCATGGGCTGCGTCAGCGCACATCCCAAGGGCAAGGGTAGCGCACTGAGGAAAGGAGCTAAAGCCATTGTAAGTTTTCCTTCCAAATTTTATGAATTTTCTAATGTAAGGCGTTAGAGACTTGACTTCTTTTACAATTGTTACAATTAGAATAAACCTAAAGCCATGAGTTCTACATTTGCTTCTAAAATATAACCGGTGAACAATGTATTCAAATAATGGCGAAAGGTATTGAGTAATTTCAGCCGGGGTTGTGGGGCAAGTGAAATAAGGTACAGCGGCTGCGGTAAGGTAGAGCAGGAGAAGGAACGGCTTTTTAGTCATACTTACTATACTTTAGACATTTGAAGCAGTCATTTGAAAACATATGCCCTAAAGAAATTGACATTTCTTTCTGCCAAAAACTGAAGAGATCATTGAATAAGAACATTGATGTCTTTTAATCGAAACTAACCCAACTTATTTTCATTTTATTGTTGTTTACAGAGAGCAGGAATCGGAGCTATCGGCGCCATTGGTACGGGTCACGAGATTTATCAACACGTCAAAAACAGAGGATAAGTTCCTGCAACTCACACTTATCTAAGCCAAACAACATAATCCATAATTATACTACATGTACCTATAATTGTGATATTTAAATGTAAACTCATAACATAAGTTTTCAATCATGCATCAACTTATACAACAACAATCAATAAATATTATTAAATTATTTCCATTAAAGAACTCTTTTTTTTCTTATTAGTACTTATTGCCTAAATATCTTGGTGGACGGTTCCTGCTTCAGCCGAAACAAACATGTAATTAGTCTCATATATTTACGCGAGTATTAACGCGGAAAATTATTATTTGAATAGGCCTTGGTAGGCTTGACGTTTCAACCCAGTTGCACAGGTCGTGGTCACAAGCAGACAAAAGTTAGTATGTAATTAGTCTGCCTATATATATGCCTGCCAGTATGCTGTATGTAAAAGTTTAAATGGGTTTTTTATTGTGACAATCCCACCAGATCCACTCAGAACTCCTGGAACTATTGTAAGTCCAGCAGGGGTTGCATATCAATCGTAATAATTTAGGACCGGAATGTTTCTAGCCTATTCGATCAGAATTTTTCTGGTATTAGTCTAACAATCCCTCCCATCCTATCCAGTGTGTGACGATTTTCTCCCCTCCAAAAAAACACTTGTAGGTCAGGAACAACAGTATAATAATTTCGAGTTTGTAATAAAATTAATGTAAGATTTCCAGAATACTGAAAGGCGTAGTCACGTTACATATACCGTAGTACTTTGACAACGTGTGACAACGCCTATCAGTATTCTGGAAATCTTGTTTTATACTTTTTCAGCGTCCTTTTTTGTCGTAGCTGGGTTTTAGTTTTTGTTAGTGTTTGTTTCCGTTCACGGGATCACAGGATCTTGGACCTTTGGAAGGCGTACGCCAAAGCCAACTCGCAGAGGCCAGTTAAACAACTTTAATTTAAGTGAAATGGGACATCAGCCGACAATTATCCATGTATGCGCTATGAAAGTGCACCCAAGGATAATCCCCGGTTGATGCAGGACTATTGTGAAATGTGGTAATAATTGAAAGGGTTATGGGTATGGGTATGGCCCCTGACCAATATTGATACATAGACATACGGATAAACAGAAAGGGGGTGACTGGCAAACTCAATTAATGGGCCCCGGAAAAGGCCTCTAGCATGTAGCGACACGGAGGCAACATATGTTAAGCTGCTTGGGGAAGGAGAGGTATCCTACGGCTATCAGAGCAATCCCGGAAGTACGGTCAAGACCCCTACCAGCACCTTACAGAGATACATCCTTCCCCCGAGTTTCCTTCAACTCCTTATAGTTTTTATTATTGTGATATCTAATCTTACAAAATTTGGTTATATTTATGGAAGTGTCACATAATTATTAAAAACTATGTAGTTAATCATTAACATATTAAAACCTTTCCTGGCTATAGGATCGGACAAAATATAATAGGGTTTTTCTTTTTTTTAAGACTAAGGAAAGAAACACGCATTTGAATATTCGTTATATGTACAGCTATGATTTTATTGTACCTCATAATGTAAATTCTAAGTGACAAATTTCAATAAATCTTACAATTTTAAGGTCTGGCTCTATTGTAACGATTGTTATTTTAATACGATTTCGAGAGCAGAATTTTCTATGAATATTATAAAACTAATCAAATAAATTTAATGTTTTTTTATATATATATTACCTACATACCTACATATTATTATCTATTCCAACAATTTTGATTCTCCATGCACACACTTGAGTTCGTAGGAGTATATAATACCTTCGATATTTTCTGCGTCACACAATGAAAATAACATAGAGCAAAATAAACCCCTAAACTTACTTACACTTTATGATCAGTCGGTATCCATTCACTTGTGGACATAGGTTTCCAATATCTCTTTGTCAATAAGAGTCTGACCCATTCACTTTTGACCCCGGGGTAAGAGAAGTCATTACTGACTGAACGCATTTTCCTTATTTTTTGTGTCCTTGACGTGCGAGTGCGTGCGTTAGTCGACTGGTCAACATTTTATCGACATAAATAATAAATTAAACAAGAATTTCTATTAAAAAACCAACGCACATCAACGATGATGCGCTTGTGGTGGCCCGGATTCAAAGCCACGAACACAGGTGCGAAGATTGTTTCCGTACCTTGACCTTTACCTTTCGGTTTATTACTGAATTTCATTTTCTCATTTCTCTCATAGCTCAACCAGAAACGCTATGTATGGTTGGTATGGTATTCTATATTCTCCCTACGTACAACGTGGGTGTCTTTGAAGCCTCAATGTATAGGATAATAGTACGTTATTGTACAAGTGTGTAATGTTGGTGATTACCGCCGAGGTGCATTAAGACCCGAGCCGGGCGGCGAGAATCTTAAGGAGCCTAGGACGGTAATGATTAATACACACGTATATGATACGACGTTTTTCAACACACTTCTAAATAAAATAATACGTTAATAAAAAACTTCAAAAGAAAAAACAAAGCGCTTTGTGCAAAATGTTTCGTAATGGCGGGAAAAATTAAGTTTTCCTATGCGCGCGCATCGGCCATAGGTAGACTAAAAAATGAGGTTAGTTTTTTTGGGCTATTCGTGGATACTATTTTTACACAATTGTAAGCGTAACTCAACGAATAATAAGAAAAACTCTATTACTCGTGAATAATAATAATGAAATAGTCAAAGTTTGATTATAGGTGTCATTATGTGCCTAATTACCACGGGATTAGATCCATTTTATGAGGGAGTGTGTTGAAAAGTATATATACATATACCTATTGCCTATGGATAGAGGTGCTTCGTAAGGTAGGCAGCTCAGATTAAGCGCCACGCACGACATAGTCGAGTAAAGTCTTGTTATTAAAATTGAACTTCCAATTCAATTATAAAGTTTGATATCGAATAATTAATATTCTATCATTGTTAGTGACTGTGGTTCACACGGTCACAAGCACGCAAAGGCTTAAGCTTAAGGAAAACCACTCGTAATTTACCGTTGCGCATAGGATTCTCCTCCGATGTTAGTCACAAGCTCTTTGCTTTGTATATAAGATGGTGAAGACGATGTAGGACCATCATTCGAGTGTAGTGAAGCAACACATCAGTCAACATGAAACTGTTCAACCTGCTAGTGCTGGTCCTCGCAGTGGTCGCCATGATCATGGGCGGCGCCAGCGCAAACCCCAAGGGCAAGGGTAGCGCACTGAGGAAAGGAGCTAAAGCCATTGTAAGTTTTGCTTCCCTTTGAAATTTTATGAATTTTCTATTTTAAAGTTATAGACTTAACTTCTTTCACAATTGTCACAATTAGTAAACCTGTAGAGCCAGGAATTCTACATGTGCTTCTAAAATATAAACTGTGAACAATGTATTTAAAGAATGGCAAATGGAAAGGAGCTAAAGCCATTGTAAGTTTTGCTTCCATATTTTGTAACATTCGGAGGTTATACCCTATCAATGTTATGTATATGCTATAGTATATAAAATATTAGATAATTAATTAATAGTAGGTACTGAACTCTGCCAAAAATTAACTAGGTAACGATGTAGTCTTATATCTACTTCTCGGACGTGAAATCTTCCTTGCAGTTGTTATAATTCTATGATTTTGGGAAATTAATTGAAATGGTTTATTAAGTTTATAGAAATTTATGATTGTTTTTGTAAACCATTTTCATTGTATTTTACAGAAAGCGGGCATCGGAGCTATTGGTGCCATTGGCACTGGTCACGAGGTTTATCAACACGTCAAAAATCGAGGTTAAGTTCCTCAACTGCACTCCGAAAGTTAAACAGGTCTAGGTAGCCAGTTCATTTGTTTTAATATATGTGTAAATTATATTAATTTTAAATCACTTGTTAAACTTGAGCAATGTCAATAAATTGATTATTAACATGAAATATCAGTTTTTATTTACTTAGACCCTTTTTGAGGGGTGGGGGGAAATCACTAAATGACTTCTCTTGCCCAGGTTAAGGCTAGACGGAATGTCAGACTTTTTCTGACTTAAAACCACCTCGTCATTCTTCTGCTAAGCGCTGGGATCGTGATACTACTACTACCCAACTACAACGTACCCAAGTATTTAATTACGCTGGCATTGGTCAACGAGGTCTACAATCACAATTAGGTACTAACAGGGTAGCAACGGAGTGAGCTTCATCACCGGTAACTTTGTTGCACTGCCTGGAACACTAACATCATCGGCCTTATTACAAAACAAGGTTTTACTTTAGTCTAGGACTCAACCATTGAGCCAGTTTTTGTATTTCGAATTGAAGGTGGATGACAATAAGATTCAAAATTCAAAACCCGACTCAATGGTTTAAACCTGGACTAAAGATAAATCTTGTTTTGTAATAAGGGGGTATATATTTATTGTTTGATTACTTATACACATTACATATTTTAATATGCATATCTTAACTTAGATTTTAATCTGACTTTGTCTTTACATTTTCCTACTAATTTCTTTCCAACTAATGATGATGGGGTTGATTCTGAAGTTAAGCTTAGCCAAATTTAGCTGAATATAAGTATATTACATAGAGAATATCTTTACAATACATTTACCAACATTATTAGGATCCCGACTAACCAAACTAATCTTTCAATGATGTCACAAATATTAATTAATTTTACTATATTGTTATTTCAAAATAGATGTTTCACGATTAGACTAAAAACATGTATAACTGCATGACGTTACAATGATAGGTATAACATTTACCGATAAGCAGATATTGTATGCGACTATGCAAACACGGGTTTAATTATTTTAATCATAACTATTAATGAGTTTAAAATCAAATTATCTATCGGCGACCAGATAATAAATTCATTAATTTCATATAGTGGAATAACAAAAATGTTGGGGTTGCGGAGAAAGCGCAATATATAGGTATCACCGCGGCCTCGACCTAGAGCACTCACTATATACTACTATATATATATATGTATATATATATATATATACTGCCTTGCGCCCCGCCCCACCTTGGGTGGG